TGCATTTGACAAAGTAGACCACAATCTACTTCTTCATAAGTATTGTAGTCTGGAGGCAGCCGGCGGAGCTGACAGCAGAGCCAGACAGTGGGGAGGAAAATGGCCCAGTTCTGGAGTCTGTGGAGGGCTCGGACAAGGGATCTCCATCTGACTCAGAGATGAGGCCAGGGCCATCTGAGAGTTATGCGCTAACTCCGGAGCCTCCAGAATCTGACATCAGCAAGGCAGAGGAACAGGGGGAGCCTGTTCCCAGTGTGCGTTGGTGCAGAGCTGCCAGAAGGCAAGAACAGTTAAGGCAAAAGAGGCGATTCAGGAGTAAGGCTTGGAGATGGCTAGCCCTTCCCATAAGACATAAAGGAGGACATGATCCTTTGCAGGAAGCAACTTTATTCATTCTGGTCAGTTTAGACTCTGAAGCTCTGTGTTGACTTTATGCTCCATTTGGCCTTGTACAGCTAATTGGCAATTTAGTTATTGGCAGCATTTCAGGGGAGATAAAGGTAGGTGCTTATCAGTTTTATCCTGAAAGACTGTGGCAGACTTCTGTTGGACTATTTATAAACTGTTTGGGACTCATTACAGGCTGTGAATGCATATAATTCACAGCCGTTGAAATAATTAAAAAAAGGTTTTTGGGAACAGCATGTGAGTGTTACTGTCTCAGGAAGCCTTGGTCAAAACAATAAGCTGGAGAAATGTGGGATAGACAGCATCACCATGAGATCAATTTGTGAAACTGCACTCAATGTGCAGTTTGGAACTACATCAACATGGAGGAAAATAAGCAGTGGGATATCACAAGGTTCTGTTTTAGGCCCATTGTTCTTAAATATCTTTATAAATGATTTAGATGACGGAATAGAAGGGGAATTTATCAACTTTGCAGATGACACTAAACTGGCAAGAATAGCCAACACCCCAGAAGATATCCACAAGATTCAGATGAACCTCAACAGACTTGAAAATTGGGCCCTATCCAACAAAATGTAATTCAATGTCTAAATGAGGTCCAAAAAAATCCATCCACAAAGAAAATGGCCTGCTGCTGGCAAGGTGAAGGCTTACCCAGCCCAGGTCCATAGGTCATATTAGACTTGGGGCAAATAAGAGAGAAGCGAGCTACTTAGAATATTAGAAGGAAGTTACAGAAAAAAAGGAGGTCCAGGGAAAGGCATTTCAGAACTGATTAAGATAACTTTTAAAGTTTTTAATAACAGAGGCAAGAAGAAAATAAGAAAAAATCCAGAAGGCTCACTGAAATGTTATCTTCCTAGCAGATGTTCTTAGGTAGGAAAGCGGGGGAAGAAGGGGACTACAAGCTAGAAGAGGCTGATGAGGAGGGGGAGTTCAGGCAGTTTGAAGCAGTAGAGGGCGGGCAAGAGAAAGGGTCACCAATTTTTTTATTCTTATCCACCCTCTTTAAGCAAACTGCATTCTTGTTATATTTCTTTGCGTTATCCTATATCTGTGACCAGAACTGCACTGTTTATTTCTTGCCAAATGTTGATTGATTCGCTGCAGCCTCTTCATTAATAGATTGGTAAAAACAATTCTAATTGGATTGAAATTGGAGATTGTGCTTATAATTTGCAATTTGAGTATTGTATCTGCTGATATTCCTGATTATTGCTATCATTTGCTGCTTTATTATTTCCAATTCTTTCTTGATCTTCCTTGTTTCTGATTGATATTTCTCAGTCTTCTTCAGTTTTTTATGTTTCATTTGGTTGAAGTGACTTGCATCTGATTCAGCTTGTTAATCTTGTTTTCCAATGTGATCTTTCATTTTTGTGGCACACTTTTTTCTTTTATAATTTTTTATTTATTTTCAAAGTTAAATTGTAAAAAAAAAAAAAATACAAAACAGAAATAGAAACTTAGAAAAAGTGCTGTATAGAACAAATAAATAAAATAAAATATCCCCTCTGCTTGAACACTAATAAATATATTTCAGTGATAATAATTGTTCCCCCCTTGCAAAATGGGCTCACAATTTATGAATGTCTACATCTATGTTTGCAAAATTGCCATACAGGTAATACTCAAGATATGATAGGTCATTTTAATGACCATTCAAAGTTACAATTGACCTCCCCTCAAACTATGCATGATCTGTTTCAAAATTAGGAATTCTACAGAAGCTGCCCGATCATCAAATGATGGGATAGCTTTTGTAGAATGTTTACCTTTCCAGAATACTCTTTTCTGTGCAGCATGGACATTTACACTTGTGGAGTTACTCAGCAAAGCTCTTTCTTTCTTTCTTTCTTTCTTTCTTTCTTTCTTTCTTTCTTTCTTTCTTCTTTCTTTTTCTATCTCTCTCTCTCTCTCTCTTTCTCTTTCTCTTTCTTTCAAAGTTACTCAGCAAAGAAGCTGAGTATTGTAACCTGATTTGACTCTGCTGATAATGAAGCTATTTTGCCCAGCTCAGGTTTCAAACAGGCTGAGAAAGCGGCTGCTGGAATCCTCCCACATGGCCTCCTGGATACTGCAGATCTTCAGAAGGTAAGCATGGGATTGTGAGGGGTGAAGCTGCCGTTGGGAATCCCAAAGATGGGAAGCTGAACATGGGATATCTCAGGGGGTAGGGGAGAGGCCTTGGGTGGCCTAAGGCAGACATCCCTGAGGCACCCCATGCACATATAATGACCTGTGCATTTGTTTAATAAATGCATTGGATTGAGTCAGAATTGGGGCTCTTTCACTTTACAAGTTTCATTTAACAACCTCCTATCTTACAACCTTAATGGGCAGATTCCATTACTGTCATAACTCGAGGATTATCTGTATAGCATGAGAGAGAGAGAGAGAGAGAGAGAGAGTTGTGTTGTGCATTAATTGATTTATTTCTTGCAGTGAGCTGCTGCTTATATTTGATAGTATTGGCATTTTTTAGTATTTGTGCTAGCTGTTTCTTTGGAATAAGCTTCAATGCATGAAGTTACTATGTTTTAACATTGTTCTAGATGCTCAGTCATTCTTTGTTTCAATTCTTCCATTAGTTAGAGGGCTTTGATTTTTCTGAGGCAGAGGGGAGGGAACTAATTTTGGAATGAAAAATTAAATAAGTGTGCTGGCTTCTTCTGGCAGCTCCTCCTGTTTACCTCTAAATTCTAAACTACTTCTGGCAAGGCTAATACCTTTGCCATGGGCTATTTTCTTATTGTTATGTTATTATTTGATTAGAATAAAATTTGAATAGAGAAATTTGTTCATGTTTTTTTACATACTAACATTGGCCTACCCATTAACAAAAGTGGGGGTGAGCTTCAGCTTCTGAGGTGAGTTTCTGCTTCTGAGTTTACTCTTTTTAGGCAAAATATTCTGCTTTTTTAACATTTCCTAGGATATTTCATTTTTCTAGGAGAGAGGCGGGTGCTAACTTCCTACAATTCCTCATTTCCCCCCCAAAAGATTAAAAGGTGATCAGATCAGAGAGACTTGATGGGTGCTTATAATTTTTCTGATGCAAAAGAGGAGGCATTGTTAAAAGGCAACAGGAAAGGAACCTATCAGTGGCTCCCAAAAACTTTCAGCCATGAAGATCTAGCAGCCTGGGAAAAGTTCTGGATTTTTTTTTTTTTTTGCTGTATCTAATTTTTTCATGGCAATTAATTTTCAGATGTTCGATGTACTTTTTGTGAGCTTACAATCAGGTTGTAAGCACAAGCCCCTACATTCTTCACAGATTATGGTTACTACCTGCCTAGGTCTTAGCTTCCAGGGTTTGTGAGGCCAAATTGAGGTTAACCAGTGTGCAATCCAGGCCATTTAGTATTTTTAAAATTACACACAATGAGGCCTGGGACTTCTACTTATGAGACCACCAGTACAATATATCCTGTTTTATTAGGCAACTGGGCAACATCATTTGTGAGTCACAGTCAGGGCTTGGGGTTTGGACATCTCTTTTCTGCTATCTCTTCAAGTGAAATAATTGCCTGTTGGGGATACCCCCTCTCCCATGGAATTATCAGAGAGTTTGGCTTGGGCCTTTATGCCATAGAGCAGCTAAAAAAAAAAGAACAAAAAACATTAAAAAAAGAAGAAGCCAGGAGCAGCTTTGTATGGAAATAGATGAAGGGGATAACCTCTGTCTAATTCTGAATAGTGTGTCTCTGTGTATGTACTTGTGTATGCAGCTACTTTTACAATACAGACAATACAAACATGCTGGACAATTTTCCCTCCCACCAGACAAAAGTCCAAGGTGTTCAGAACTTGCTGGGCCACTCAAATACAATCCTTACATGAGTACATTAGACTGATTACAATATAAATGATACAAGAAAGAACACATTACAATGAATTTGACATTACAATGAATTTCCACCCTCCCCCCATAATCTTTCTAATTGTCTTCTGGGGATTGAAAAGAGTCTTTTACTGGTCCATCTCAGGGTCCTTTCTTTCATGTCTCTGAGTGGCATTAGGCTTGGTCTGGTGGTATGTGTGGTCAGTCAGGCTTGGGAAGGTCTGCTCCATTCTTGTTGCGGTGATAACTGTCAGTGGAGGACTGGATCCAAACCGAATTCTTTGGCTCCAATGGATGGAATGTCTCCTCGAGGGGCAGCATCTGTTTCTACATGTTGCAGGGCTGAAAGACAAAAAACAAGGGTCTTCTCCCTGCTTTGCTGGTACTTCTATCAGAAAAGGCATTGTGTGCAGGATAAGAGATTTTGGGGGCGGCGGGGGTAGATAGCTTGCAGGCAGGGTTTGAGGAAAAGAAAAACAATACATCAGTATTGCAGTTACTAAACAGATAAATCAGTTTTAACAAAATGGAGACACAACAGATGAGAAAGGAAAAAAATACTCCCAGGTTTCAGGAAAAAAGATAACAGATAAAATCATTTAAACACACAATAAATGCAAGGATGACACTTTTCTTGTAAATGAACTTTGCAATAGTTGCAACAGTTACCTCAAGGACACACAAAGACTTAGACATACACACACACACACTCACACACAAACAAGAACAGAGAGGAATACAAAACTCTGAGGTTTACACACACACTGATCATTCCCACAATAAATCTCTTAGTTAAATTGGGAAAGGCACAAATCTTAAGAAACCATGTGGTTGCATAGGAGACAAAGAAAGAGACACAGAAAGAAACAAACAAACAAACAAAAAATCCCATGTAATCCTGTTTATATATTGCCCTTTTCTTTCATTTTTCTTTTCTTTTTTAAGTACCTTTATTTAGCCACATTGGTCTTCCTGTATCCCTCAGCAAAGCTCATTCTCTACATATACATTTTTCTTTTCTTTTCTTTTCTCTATATCAGCTAGGACTGGCATCTACTGCTTATCCCAAGCCTCCAATAACTCTCTCAGGGGGCTTCCACTCAGGACTCTCAAACTTCAGTTTCTCATGTTTCCCCTTCTGATGTGGGGTTCTCACACTTCGGCTCAGTCGGGTCAACAGGCTATCAGTTTGCAGACAGAAAAAGGTGTCTGGGGGAGACTTTGATTCCCTAGTACAACACCCCCACACTCCGTGATAGTAATTCAGGCATTTGGCAACCAGTCACAGCATTTGTGACTGGTTTATAACAGTCACAGCATTTCACAATCACATAAATTGCCTTTTGTGAACTTCACAGCCAGCTTCTGCAAAGCAAAGTCAATGGTGAAACTAGCAGGAAGTCACAAGTCACATCTCTCTTAGTAACCATGGATGAGTCTCTCCCTGATGTCATAGATTTTAACCATGCTGTTTAGTAACAGAGCTGCCAATCCCATTTACAATCAGTAAGTGAGAATTAGAATATATGTTAGTATCTTAAAATATATCCTAAACTTAGAAAGTGAACATGTAAGGGGGAAAAGAATTTAGTCTTTTTCACATTTGTACATTAATATATGTACTCCTTAATTACAGTGAATGTCAAGTTTTACTTCCAAAGGGCAGAAATGTTTATACACAAACATACAGAGAGTTTTAAAATGTAATATAGTCAGAATCATAACCGTATATGAGACTACTTAGGCTCAGTAGAGGAATTGCAAGGTAAATTCTTAATAACACTTAGCTAAAAACTAAGATACCACAATCAGATACATTTCATGGCCTTTTCTCATCTCCACAAGCCTCCATCTAGTGGTAAAAGTAGAAGACTACATGGAGCATCAAACCTGTGGAAAATAGAAAACTTGAAATATTCTAGTAATAGTAAAGGATGACAGTTTAGTATTAAATATTATGCCATGTTTGGTAGCTTTAGGGTAAACACAATATAATAATCCAGCCAATTATGGCTCTGATTGGCATCACATATTTCTCTTAGCAATCATTTGTTTAGCCGTACTTTGGTAAACAATTGCTGACTGTTTGTACATCTAGCAAAGCCTATGTAGACTCCATCATCAATGCAAAGAGCTGACATCATGTTGCTGAAGTTGAATGGATGCAACCTCCAATTTGTAGCAAATCTCCAGCATTGCCCCATTTTTACAATTTGTCTGAAATGGTATAGGGTAAGGGGTTGGACAAGAAAACCTCCAAGGTCCCTTCCAACTCTGATGATAATGATTTAGACTCAGTCATGCTTAGAACCAAAAAACTGGATCCTGGTGGAAATTCTCAGTCATCTAGATCATGGTTGTCCCAAGGTGGACTTTCTTGTTTTTTTCATTAAAGAAGTTTTACTTCTTATCCAAGAACTCCTTTAGTTCTGATTGAATGGTGGAGCATGGAATAATTTATATTCCTTATAAATCGTATTCTATATTTGGTTGTTAATACTTTCTTTGAAGCCACTTGGAGGTTTATCTATGTCCTCAGAGTTATCAGAACAGTACAAATGGATGTGGAATCTTCTTGGAAATACTGAAAGGACTGTTGTATACAGGAGAAAGATGGTGTCATATCACTCCCCCTCTGTTAAGAGATAGCTGATCAATTTCAACATAGATGCCCTCTTTGACCCCTCTTTCAAACCAGTATCCCTTCTGTTCATATTGTGGACTTTGCTGTCTTCAAGAGTTGCCATTGTCTTTCAACTTGTTTGTTCTCCTAAGTTATGCCATGCATTTATGAAGTGGTGCAAAAAAAAAATGCATCAGGAGCTGTTCCATAACAAAGAAAAGAACAATAAATAAAGCAATGTTGTCATTCCATATATTGAAGGAATATGTGAAAAACTCAGGAAGATTGTATTAGCTTTTTTGGCTGCTGCCGCACAGTGCTGGCTCATATTCAATATAATATACGTCATCCACTAGGATTCCAAGGTCCCTTTCAGTTACTGTTTTTGAATCAGGTTTCACCTAATCTATATTTATATCTTTGTTTTTTTTCTGCCTAAATGTAAAACTTTGCTTTTCTTCACATTAAAATTCATTTTGTTGGATAGGACCCATTGCTCAAGTCTGTCAAGCTCTTTTTGGATCCTGAGCTTGTTTTCTGGAATTTTGGCTATTCCTGCCAGTTTAGTGTCATCTGAACATTTGATGAGTTCCCCTTCTATTCCCTCATCTAAATCATTTATGAAATTATTGAGGAGTACTGGGCCTAAGACAGAACCTTGTGATATCCCACTGCTAACTTCCCTTCATGTAGACATACTGTAATACCAATAAGGACTACTCATTCAGTATGCTTTATCAGCCAGCTACAAATCCATCTGACAGTGATACGATAAAATAAGATGGAATGGGAGGGATGGGATGGGATGAGATGGACTGAGAGATGAGATGAGAGATAAGATGAGGTAAGATATAAGGAAAGATATAAAAGATAAGAGATGATAAGATTGATAAGCTAAAGATAACCTTTATTGCCATTTTTTCTGTGGGCACTCTGGCACATATTAAGAAACTCTGTTGCCTGCTCTCAAATGTATACACATACAGAACACACATATAGATATGTTATATACATACATACATACATACATACATACATACATGTTTTCTTAAGTTTTCGCTGGTACTTACATGTATGGCATTCAGCTTTGTTCGGGTATTTTCACATGCCATTGTAGTTGTGCTTTTAAAGTTGTAGCAACGTTTTGGCAGAATCTCATCTGCCATCATCAGGCTTCTGTATATGTATTTATATATAAGAGTGTAGGTATATATATATATATATATACCTACACTCTTATATATAAATACATATAAATATTAATTACTGCCCATTTTGAATGCATCACGGAAAAAGGAAACTTGAGAGTTTATAAGGTTGATACTGTATGGAACAAAACTGTGGCTAAATCTAGATCCGTGTTGGCGAACCTATGCCACGCAGAGCCATTTGCCCCACCACATGAGAGGTCACCCAGAAGAGCCCACTGCACATGTGCACATTTCCCGTCGCCTGACAGCTGATTGTTGGGTATCTGGCACGCATGTACATGGGTGGAGGAGTGTGTGCAGGAGATGTGCGTGTAAACGCAGGGGCATGCTCTGCACGAGATTGGGGGGCAGCATGCATTCCCTTCTGGGTGCTGGCATGTGAGCACGCAATTATCGGCACAGGAGCCGAAAAAGGTTAGCCATCACTGATCTAGATATTCTGCTTTATATACCACAAAGCCTCCTCCCAGAAGGTAACAAGGGAAACAGGTTGTGAAGAGGACCCTGCTCAAGCAACGCTTATATGCTATGTCCTGGATAGAGGGGAGTGAACTGTCAATAATATTTTCTGCCATCCTTACCAATTTATCTGAAACCAGACTGTAATGCTTTAAAACTAGACTATAATGCAATATGACAAGGTACTCTAGGTAGTCCCTCTATAGAAAGTGGTAAGGACAGGGGGAGGAAGATGCATTTTTGTCATGCAATGCAGAAAATGCAGGCGCTGCTGTGCCCACTTCATCAGTGTTTTACTGTTGAGCAACCAAGCCAGCCTACTTGTTAGCTGCTAACCATCTCCACAGGCGAATCATTTATACACAGAAGAGTGTGGCTGTGCCTGCCTTTTCTGAAATTGACGACAATTTATTTAGGTTTTCAACATTTAAAATGAGACTGTTTTTATTACACCAATTCACCAAACCCTCTACCTCCTTGAGATAAGCACTCTCATTATCATTTTGAATAAGGCTTACTACTGTTGTATAACCAGAATACTTCACAATGTGGTTGGTGGCAAATAGCAACAGTCATGGATAAACAGGTTGAACAACAGTGGACTTAGGATGTAGCCGTGAAAAGAACTTGTGCTCGAGAAAATGATGTTAGAAATATTAGTCCCAACTCGCATATCCTGGGGTCTGTCAATAAGAAAATCAAGAATCCAGTTGCACAACGGAGTATTAAAGTCTAAGAGGCTCTGTTTGTCTACCAAATGCTGAGGAACGATTGTATTAAATGCCAAACTGAAGTCAATAAACAGCATACACACATGAGTGTTTTTTTCCTCTAAGTGCCCCAAGCTCAGATGGAGAATAGAAAAAATAGCATCCTCTGTGGAGCGATTTGGACAGTAACCAAACTGAAGCGAGTCAAATGCTGGAGGGAGGCTAGATACAATAATGTCCTTTATCAGCCTCTCAAAACATTTCATAAAAATGGATATAAATGTAACTGGATGGTAATCATTGAGACCTATAATTGTAGACTTGTTTGATACTGGCAAAATAATGGTTGTCTTAAAACACAATGGGACCACTGGCTGCTGCAATGAAAGATTGAAAACATCTGTAAGAATACAAGCCAACTCATCTGCACATTCCTTAAGAATATGCCCAGAAATATCATCTGGGCCTGCTGCTTTCCGAATGTTAATTTTCTGCAGTGTCCTCCAGAGACTGAGGTAATATCAAAGCTAAGCACTTGCTCAACAGGAAGGGGCACAGCTTTCCTTGCAGGGAAATCTTCATCGAATCTTCCAAAAATGTGTTTGTCACCCTTGCATCTCAATGGAGCCATCTCATAATCTGTAATGGTATGGATTCCCTGCCACATACAGCTGGAGTTCATTGGGTCCTGAAAAAAATTATCAACTTTCTGATAATGGACTTGCTTTGCTCTTTTTATGATGCTTCTCAAATCTTCTCTAGCTGTTCTAAGTTCCAGCATATAACGAGATTTAAAAGACGCATTCGGTGCTTTCAATATCTTGTGAACTTTGTAGGTCAACCATGGTTTTTTATTAGCCCTCACAATGTTTTTAAGGACACAGATGTCCTCAATGCATGTTTGATATATGCAGACACAGTGGTGGCTATGATGCTATGTATTCCAGTTTTCTAGCTTACCAAGAAGTAGGTTGTGGTCTACTGTTGTCAAATGCCTTACTGAAATCTAAGTGTAGTATGCCCACAGCATTTCGCTGGTCTACCAATTTAGTCACTTTACCAAAAAATGAAATAAAATTGATTTGGCATGATCTAACAAACCCATGCTGGCTACTAGTTACAACTTTGTTTCTAGATGTTCTCTCTTCTAGATGATCTGGGTTTTTAAAATTATTATATTTTCCAGATCTTCCCAAATATTGATATTAGGCTAATTCGTCTG